AGCCGCCCCCCAGACACCGCAGCAGCCTCTGGCCGTACAATTCTCCAATCCCCCCCTCCAGTGAGCCACCGACACGCCCAGCTCCACAACTCCCTCGGCCCCCTTTACTGGCATAGACCCAGCCATTCCTGCAGGGCGCACACAGTGAAATGCCCTCAGTGCCCCCGTCCCGGCATGAGCCAGGCAAACGGCCTCCGCTGGTGACCCCGGGCAACAGGCACCTACCCACTGACTGACCTTCCTCCGCACCCGTCGACTGAACTACCTACCCATCAACCCCCCCCCCCGCTGACTGATCTCCCCGCTTCCCTACCGACAGAACTCCCTACCCATCAACCCCCCCCCCCGCTGACTGATCTCCCCGCTTCCCTACCGACAGAACTCCCTACCCATCAACCCCCCCCCCCGCTGACTGATCTCCCCGCTTCCCTACCGACAGAACTCCCTACCCATCAACCCCCCCCCCCGCTGACTGATCTCCCCGCTTCCCTACCGACAGAACTCCCTACCCATCAACCCCCCCCCCCGCTGACTGATCTCCCCGCTTCCCTACCGACAGAACTCCCTACCCATCAACCCCCCCCCCCGCTGACTGATCTCCCCGCTTCCCTACCGACAGAACTCCCTACCCATCAACCCCCCCCCCCGCTGACTGATCTCCCCGCTTCCCTACCGACAGAACTCCCTACCCATCAACCCCCCCCCCCGCTGACTGATCTCCCCGCTTCCCTACCGACAGAACTCCCTACCCATCAACCCCCCCCCCCGCTGACTGATCTCCCCGCTTCCCTACCGACAGAACTCCCTACCCATCAACCCCCCCCCCCGCTGACTGATCTCCCCGCTTCCCTACCGACAGAACTCCCTACCCATCAACCCCCCCCCCCGCTGACTGATCTCCCCGCTTCCCTACCGACAGAACTCCCTACCCATCAACCCCCCCCCCCGCTGACTGATCTCCCCGCTTCCCTACCGACAGAACTCCCTACCCATCAACCCCCCCCCCCGCTGACTGATCTCCCCGCTTCCCTACCGACAGAACTCCCTACCCATCAACCCCCCCCCCCGCTGACTGATCTCCCCGCTTCCCTACCGACAGAACTCCCTACCCATCAACCCCCCCCCCCGCTGACTGATCTCCCCGCTTCCCTACCGACAGAACTCCCTACCCATCAACCCCCCCCCCCGCTGACTGATCTCCCCGCTTCCCTACCGACAGAACTCCCTACCCATCAACCCCCCCCCCCGCTGACTGATCTCCCCGCTTCCCTACCGACAGAACTCCCTACCCATCAACCCCCCCCCCCGCTGACTGATCTCCCCGCTTCCCTACCGACAGAACTCCCTACCCATCAACCCCCCCCCCCGCTGACTGATCTCCCCGCTTCCCTACCGACAGAACTCCCTACCCATCAACCCCCCCCCCCGCTGACTGATCTCCCCGCTTCCCTACCGACAGAACTCCCTACCCATCAACCCCCCCCCCCGCTGACTGATCTCCCCGCTTCCCTACCGACAGAACTCCCTACCCATCAACCCCCCCCCCCGCTGACTGATCTCCCCGCTTCCCTACCGACAGAACTCCCTACCCATCAACCCCCCCCCCCGCTGACTGATCTCCCCGCTTCCCTACCGACAGAACTCCCTACCCATCAACCCCCCCCCCCGCTGACTGATCTCCCCGCTTCCCTACCGACAGAACTCCCTACCCATCAACCCCCCCCCCCGCTGACTGATCTCCCCGCTTCCCTACCGACAGAACTCCCTACCCATCAACCCCCCCCCCCGCTGACTGATCTCCCCGCTTCCCTACCGACAGAACTCCCTACCCATCAACCCCCCCCCCCGCTGACTGATCTCCCCGCTTCCCTACCGACAGAACTCCCTACCCATCAACCCCCCCCCCCGCTGACTGATCTCCCCGCTTCCCTACCGACAGAACTCCCTACCCATCAACCCCCCCCCCCGCTGACTGATCTCCCCGCTTCCCTACCGACAGAACTCCCTACCCATCAACCCCCCCCCCCGCTGACTGATCTCCCCGCTTCCCTACCGACAGAACTCCCTACCCATCAACCCCCCCCCCCGCTGACTGATCTCCCCGCTTCCCTACCGACAGAACTCCCTACCCATCAACCCCCCCCCCCGCTGACTGATCTCCCCGCTTCCCTACCGACAGAACTCCCTACCCATCAACCCCCCCCCCCGCTGACTGATCTCCCCGCTTCCCTACCGACAGAACTACCTACCCATCAACTCCCTCACGCGCTGACTGATCTACCCGCTTACCTATCGACTGAGCTACCTACCCATCAACCAGCCCACCCGCTGACTGACCTACCTGCTTACCTACCGACTGAACTACCTACCCATCAACTCCCTCACCCGCTGACTGATCTACCCGCTTACCTATCGACTGAGCTACCTACCCATCAACCAGCCCACCCGCTGACTGACCTACCCGCTTACCTACCGACTGAGCTACCTTCCCGTCAACCCCCTCACCCGCTGACTGATCTACCCGCTTACCTATCGACTGAGCTACCTACCCATCAACCAGCCCACCCGCTGACTGACCTACCCGCTTACCTACCGACTGAGCTACCTTCCCGTCAACCCCCTCACCCGCTGACTGATCTACCCGCTTACCTATCGACTGAGCTACCTACCCATCAACCAGCCCACCCGCTGACTGACCTACCCGCTTACCTACCGACTGAGCTACCTTCCCGTCAACCCCCTCACCCGCTGACTGATCTACCCGCTTACCTACCGACTGAGCTACCTTCCCGTCAACCCCCTCACCCGCTGACTGATCTACCCGCTTACCTACCGAGCTATTTACCTATCAACCGCCCCACCTGCTGACAGACCTACCCACTTACCTACCGACTGAAATACCTACCCATCAACCGCCCCACCCGCTCACTGATCTACCCGCTTACCTACCAACTGAAATAACTACCCACCAACCACCCCACCCGCTGACTGATCTACCCGCTTACCTACCGACTGAACTACCTACCCATCAACTGCCCCACCCGCTCACTGATCTACCCGCTTACCTACCGACTGAAATACCTACCCAATTATCTAACTGACTGAGCTACCTACCTCTACACACCCCCTTTTCCTAACCGCTAACCTATAAACCTCCCTCCCCACCTGACATACTGGCCTTCTTACTTACCTACCCGCTTCCTCTCTCTCTCTCTCTCTCTCTCTCTCTAATCTACCTTTCTGCAGACCACCAAACAAACACCCATGATGATCTATTGGATGCAGGAGGGGGTGGGAGGGTGAGGTCTGGTGAGGAGGTTGGGTGCAGGAGCGGGCTGGGGATGGGTGCCCGGCTGGGCGGTTGGGTGCAGGGTGTGGGGGCTGGGCGCAGGAATGAGAGCTCTGTGGGGGCTGGGTAGCCAGTTCTCTCGCATGCCTACTGTAGCCCCACAGGGCTGTGTTGTGGTGTGGGCCCTATCCTAGCAGGGGAGGTGTGTGAAGAATCGATGGGTGCATTGGGGTGCCCCGCTGAGCCTCTGTCTGCCCGCCCAGGCGCTGCTCCCTCATCCCCTCCCCAGCCTTCACCGTCAGGAATGAGAGCTCTGTGGGGGCTGGGTAGCCAGTTCTCTCGCATGCCTACTGTAGCCCCACAGGGCTGTGTTGTGGTGTGGGCCCTATCCTAGCAGGGGAGGTGTGTGAAGAATCGATGGGTGCATTGGGGTGCCCCGCTGAGCCTCTGTCTGCCCGCCCAGGCGCTGCTCCCTCATCCCCTCCCCAGCCTTCACCGTGTCCCCAGCCCCCCACCTCATCTGGCAGTGGGCAGCGGTGAGCGAAGGGCCGGTCGAAGTAGTAGAGGAGAACCAGCCACGGGTGCCCGCGCACCGGGCACTCGCTTCCACCGATGATCCGATCTCCTCGTGGGGAGGCTGCCGGGTGGGAGGGGCAGAGGTCAGCGAGGGTGGGGTTGGCAATGGAGCGATGGCCTATTGACCCAGCTGGGATCTGGCCCCATTGATTAAAACTGAGCTACGGCCCATTGGCCCAGGTGGGATTGACCCAGCGAAGGCCCATTGATCCAGCGGGTGGCAAATGAATGCAGTACAGAGATAATACGCCCCCATCTCCGCATCCCCTTGTCTGGGCAGGACTACGCAGACGCAAGGGTGGGTGCTGCACAGTGCACTGACACACACAGAGCGGGGTCAGCCCCTCCCCCCCAGCAGGGACACCCCCTGCAGAGCCCCGCATGCTCTGTACAAAGGGACATGCACACGGCACAAGCGCCCGGAGACGCCAACACGCACACGCAAACACACGGAGATACACACTTCACCACCCTTCCCACAATGACTGCCAGGTGCAGACAGAGGTACGGGCACGCAGCGCCCCACACCTGTTATCTATGTGCTGCGCGCGCACACACACACACACATGAGCACATAGAGACATGGGCACAGACGCAGACACTCACACACCGACACACCCATATGCATACCCATAAAACCCCCGCGCACAATGCTCACACATGCACATGCCTGCATGCCTACCCCCCATGCAAATCCAGATATGTACAGTCACAACATTCCCCAAGTCTGCATGCGTGTACACACACACACACAGTCACAAATGAGTGCACACGCACACACATAGTCACAGATGGGTATGCACATGCACATGCACAAATACACACATGCACAAACATCCATACACACACACATGTACACACACACACAGTCACAAATGAGTGCACATGCACACACACAGAGTCACAGATGGGTGTGCACACATACGCGCATGTGTACACGCACACATGCACGCACATACATACGCACACATGCACACACTTGCACACACTCGCGCGCGCACACGCACATGTACACACACAAATGGGTACACACACAAACGCGCACGCACACACACACACCGAGGCCCTCACCAGCTGGGAGCAGCAGGAGCAGCAGCAGCGCGGTGCGTGGTGGCTCCATGGCGTCCGGGCGGCAGCTGCCCGAGGATGGGCTTTCTACATACGCACACATGCACACACTTGCACACACTCGCGCGCGCACACGCACATGTACACACACAAATGGGTACACACACAAACGCGCACGCACACACACACACCGAGGCCCTCACCAGCTGGGAGCAGCAGGAGCAGCAGCAGCGCGGTGCGTGGTGGCTCCATGGCGTCCGGGCGGCAGCTGCCCGAGGATGGGCTTTCCCACGCACCCCGCGCCGCGCGCCGAGGCCCAGTCAATGATTAACGGGTCAGAGGGACGCGCTCCTCGGCCCATGGCCCCCCCCCCCCCCCCCCACCCTCCTCTTTTTTCACGCTCTTC